TGGGCTCCCTTGTAACACTGGTACATTGCTACAGACAGGTACCTATTGTACTCTGGTATGGTACAGGGTGAGCAATGCAAAACACGACCAGCATTGTTGCTAAGCATGCTTACATGAATTATTGCCTGTCACCATCAGGGGTGAGGGCGCTCCACTGTGTTGCCACAGACACAGAATACAAAGTTAGCATTTCTTATTTCCAATAATGCTAATTTATCTGATCATCACTTGAATGCTAATAGGGCTGGCACTCTAAAGAAACCTCTGTCAGGGAGAGAGGCAGCAGAAATAAATGAGCGGTCTGGATCAGTTTAATGAACTTCAAGCACAAGGCTAAATATTTGCCTAATAGCTGTAAAGTGAAATGAGTTCCCAGTCTGCTGCTGTAAAAAGAGATGTTCAAAAGAAATTATTCCAGTATAATGATTTAAATTCCTAAGCTGAGATAGATGGAGCCCATCCCCCCTAATCTACTGTAGTATCTGCTTTGTAAGCAATACCCAAGGAGCAGCCTGTTCACAGAGATGGTCAGTTGTCACTCCAGTACACTTGATGGGGCCCTGACATACTGGGTACTCTGCCTTGGTCCAGCTTCACAACTATGCACAGAAACAGGGCAGTGTTCATTTCTTCTCCAAGCTGACAGCATAAGGTTAACACTAACAGTATTGCTGAACAGTGCCCTAGTTTGAGCTGAGGATGTGCAGTGAAAGCTGAATTTGCGTCATCTGGGACCTGAGAGAGCCAACCATTGCACAGATAGCTTATATACAGATCTTGAATAATTCATCAGCAACCAAAGCGGGAGGGAGCGAGGAAGAGCTGATCAAAAAAGAGGAGCTATTTTTGACAGCATCCATCCAGGAACAAAGTTACTGGACTTTGTTTAATGTGTGACATTTCCTTGAAAAGCCATGAGCTGCAGAAATTTCATTCCTACCTTCCCAGTAATTCTCTCACACACAAGGGAAGGCTCTCAGAGGGGAGCTTACAGCTAACCAGATAATGTAATTAGTATTCAGGAATTCATGGACTGTTGTGAGAAATGCAATGCGTAGATATTGCAGTCTGATATCCTTATCTTGTCTTCCTTCCCTCTCAGTGCTTTGCTAATGACAGTGATGGTAGCAGCTCCTTGAATAGCACCTTCCCTTTTGTGATTACACGGTAACCTGCACACGTAATTCATTGATGACCCACTGATGCTTTTTATCCTTATGGCACAGAATAGAAGACTGAAGCTCTGGCAGTTGTGTGAATTTTCAAGGTTGCAGCACAAAATGCAGGTTATGGATTTAATAGGAAAAAGAAAAACAAACAAAAAAAACAACCAACCAAACAAGAAAAACCCAAACCAAACCAAACAAAAAAAAAATAATCCAGAAGGAGAGGAAAGGAAAAGTACTTCTGGCTTGGTCTCTTCGTGCAAAACTCCATCAGAGATCAATCATTGTAGGTTTTAGCTTCATGTGGGTACAGGTTTGGCAAAAACTTGACCAGAATATTAGGAGCTAGAAAGCCAAGATGCAGCATGTGTGCACAATGGATGTCTGTGTGTGCATGCGTGTCTGTGTGCGTGCACATTTTCAGAGCCCTGCCACCCCCTACCCTCCCAATCTCCACTGTATCTATCTGTGCCTCGAGCTACAGGAACCAAATTCCAGCCAAGAGCTATGGAGTGGGACCTGGTGAGATGTAAAGGGGAGAAACAAACAAAAGCAGCTTATGACTTGCCTAAACAGTGGTTCTGTATTGAGGTGGTATTTGTATTTGTCCCTCCATGTACAAACACCTGTTCTTTTGCAGTCGACTTACAGCCATTTGAATCTGCCTTTGTTTGGTTTTGTGTATGGGTTTTTTTAACATCCACTTAGGACAGGATTTATGTAAGTGAAATACATATAAGCCCTTCGTTGCTACCTGAGTGCATGAAAAAAAGATTTACTTGAGCTGATTTGGGATTGAATTTCAGGCTTCCTAGCTAATGGCCTCCCACCTGATTTGTGCACGACAAATAAGTCATTCAAACCAGACAGTGATGACAGCCATGTTTTCTGCAGAGTCAATCAGCTAATGCGGAGTGTACAAGGGCCTGTCCTTGCCTGTTGTGAGTAACTGGGTGAAAACTTAATTCAGAATATTTATGGCTCACTTAGAAGTGAAAATGCAGAGCACAGAAATGGCCTGGAGAAGGGTTGTCGGTCCTAAAGTGTGTAAATCATGGTAAGGAGTCCAAAGGGAGTCTGTTGAATTGACATTGGCTTTCTGAGACTCTTCTGGGTCATTAACCTCACACTAAACCAGATTTCTGTCACAAGCTCCTGCTCATTGAGAGAATTAACTGCTCTCCCTTTGCCCCTCGCTGCAGGCTGGCAGCTCTGCACACATCGGCATGGGCTTTGCCTCCTTCCCTGCCAGCTCCAAGGAGGAAACGGCACCTGTCTCCCAGTGGAGAGCGATGGACGGTTGGTGTGGTTGTGTCCCTCTGCTTCCCCCTCCAGGGCTGCTTGTCCAAGACAAGCAGGAAAGAAAGGGGAGAAAGGTCAGGAGGCAAAGAGGCCAATCACTAATGGGAAGAAAGGAGTAAGAACAGAAAAGAGAAAATGGCCCCCTGAAATGAATGCCTGATGGTTCATAGCATTTGCCCTGGAGGAAATCCCAGAGGGCCAGCAGCTCATGGGCCTGAGGAAAGACAGGCCTAGAAGGAAGAGTAAAGTACTGTGCTGGGCTCACAGAGGATTTCGGGTTGGCTGGGTTTTTCCCATACCAGGTAAGAGTGTCACAGAGGGTTCAGCTCCAGCTCCAGCATCTGGCTGTGTGGTACAGATGTGGGTATTGCCTACTCTTTCACCTCTTCAGGAGCCCTACACTCATGCTAGGCAGAAGGACCAGGCTCCACGTGTAGTTAGAACCTCCTTACAAAAAGAACAGCTGAAATGAAGAGTGAATTATGAAAAACAGTAATAGAAGCAGGAGACATAAGTAAAGGGTGGCTAGATAATATATCAAAAAAGGAGTAACAGACTACTTGCATGTAGTTCAGCCCCAAATCCTCTTCTTCTGACTAAATATTCCATTAAAAGTATACGTTAGGAAGCAGTGGCTTCCCAGCAACAAAAGAAAGAAGTAACTTGTGTGATCAGGGCCTTATGAGAGGAGGAGCCCTCTCAGACATCTTTGCAGGTTTATTCTCATCCAGTGTAACTGGAAAGATCCCTGTACAAAGATAGGGAGACAGCTTAGTCCACAACCTTGCACCCATCACTCTTGTACTATTTAGTTTTCCTAATGTTATGGCCAAGATTGTATAAGAAATTAACCCTTTATATGTGTCTCCTTTTCCAGGAGCCATCTACGGGTCACGGTGAGGTTCTGCTCTCTATCAGCTACCTGCCAGCAGCTAACCGCCTGCTGGTGGTGATTATTAAGGCTAAAAATCTCCATTCCAAGCAGCTGAAAGATCTACTTGGCAATGGTGAGTAGAATAGCAAGAAAACAGAAACTGTCATTGCTGCTATTATGTAAATCTAGAAAGAAAGTGGGAAGGGTGGTGTTTGGAAGAAAAAAAATGTTTTGCTTAGAAAACCAAAGAGATCTGAATAATTTCTAAAAGGTGAAAAACAAAACCACCAAGATAAATGTTTTTTTATGTTCTCTCTCTCAGTCCGATGTCACCAGTTAAAATTCTCTTGCATTCATTTTGTTGCATGCTCATTAATATGGTGTCTCCCTCCACATCCTATACAGACGTTTCGGTCAAGGTGACACTGAGGCATCAGTCCTTAAAGCTGAAGAAGAAGCAGACCAAACGTGCAAAACACAAGATCAACCCTGTGTGGAATGAGATGATCATGTTTGAGGTGCCTCATGAGCTCCTGCGTGCCTCCAGCGTGGAGCTGGAAATGCTGAGCCAAGATGATGCTGGGCAGAGCCACGTGCTCGGCAAGTGCAGCCTGGGCTTGCACATCACGGGCACAGAGAGGAACCACTGGGAAGAAATGCTGAGGAACCCCAGGAGACAGATAGCCATGTGGCACCAGCTCCACATGTAGTCTTTTTGTGTTTACTGATAATGAGATTTCTACCAGACCTCTGAGTCTGGAGGAATAAGCTGCATTTCACCTTCCATCTTCTCCTCCACAAAGTTGCTCAGTACAGCATTCTTCTTACACCACCTTCTCTGATTTTCTCATCTTAGCCCAGGAAACTGTCTGTAAAATTTATTTAAAGGACAATCTCTCACCTGATCAAGTGGTTCTCTCAAGGGATTTGGCCGTCTGGATGATTTGAATTAACTTTATTAGCCTGCCCATTGTCATTTCTGTGAGATCCCTGTTTCTGTAGAGGAGCAGAGGGGACCAAAAGTATCACAGAAATGTAAGACACTCCTTGGCATCTGGCATTGCCATCCAAGTCCCTTAATGTGTGCTGGCTCCATAAGCACAAACACATGGCAGATGTTTAACCAGTCAGTGTTTTTCATAATAGAAAGACTGTGAGAGATGAAGATCAAAAGACTAACTTTCAATGCAGACCCAAAGTATCAGCATGAAAGACAGAGAGAAGCCAATGTGCAGTAGATGGATACTTAGAAAAAGATAGGGAACTAAGGAGAACTAACAGAGGAAGACGAGAGTGAGATAGTCAACACTATCATCCTGTGTAGCCTTTGAAGCAAACACTGCCAAACAAGTCAGATACCTTCACTTCACTTTTTTTTCCTGGAGCGTTTGATACCTTGTGTTTAGGATCCATGAAAGCTGCTGAAAATATGAACGTTTCAGGATCCTTTAGGAGAATACCTGTATCTTCTACCTTTCTGCAGTGTCACCCAGGAAGATCCTAAAGACCATGGACAAACAGTTGATGTTACTTCCAAAAACTTGGACCAAATCTTTCTGCTTACTGCCATCTTTTCTGTTTGGGTTTTTCCAAGCTAGAAAGTTTCAAATACTCTAGTTATATTCCAGGCAACACCTAGGACTAGACAAAAGAACTGCAATCATTTCATAACTTAGCAGTTGATTGATGGTTTTTGTTTGACATTTAACTATCACACTCAAATCCTTATACCAGCATTACTTGAAGACAACCCTTAAGAACTGCCATGTATTTCATCACATCCAGACAGAAGGAATTCACTGACCAGACAGACTCGCCAAGGCTTGTTTTTCTGTGTGCACTTTCAAGATTTGACGTGGCTTAAGTGTTACTGTTTACTGTCCTTTTTTTGTGTCTAGATGAACTGAAAGTTTGCCATTGGCAGTGATGATGTTATGACCCCATAAGCACACTGCTTGTCCTACCACTTTATTTCAAGTAGTAGACACAGCTTTAAGGAACTTGCATGGGGACAAGGCATCAAAAAAATCTAAAAACAGAACCATATCATTTGTAGCACTGAAAAACCCAGAGAACTTCATTTAGCAGGGTCAGCTTGATCCTTTCAATATTTAAAATATATTCTTAATATTAAAAATATTAAGCTAGGCTTTGTCTAGTATCCATCCTATTTTGATGACTAAGTCAAACAAGATCAGCAGACTGTCTTGCTGGCAAAGGGAAACCACCAGAACCAGCATTTGAAAACTGACTGAAGTGCCAGACACAGAGGGCTATGAACAGGGGAATGAAGTTCAGCTGGAAGCCAGTCACTAGTGGTGATTAGGGCTCATAGTGGGACTGATAGTGTTTAACATCTTCATAAATGACCTGGACAATGGGGCAGAGCGTGCCCTCAGCAAGTTTGCAGATGATACAAAACTAGGAGTATTGGTTCATATGCCAGGCAGTTGTGCTGCTGTTCAGAGGGATGTGGAGAGGCTGGAGAAATGGACTGACAGAAAGCTCCTGAAGTTCAACAAGGAGAAGTGCAAAGTCCTGCACCTGGGGAGGAACAACTTCATGTACCATTGCAGGGCTAGGGGCTGACCATCTGGAAAGCAGCTTTCCAGAAAAGGACCTGAGCATCCTGATGGACACCAAGTTGAACATGAGCCAACAATGTGCAACAAAGGTGGCCAACTGTGTCTTGGGCCACATAAGGAAAAGCATTGCCAGCATGTCAAGGGTGGGGTGATACTTCCTCACTATTCAGCACTGGTAAGGACACACCCAGAGTGTGGGTTCCTCAGCGCAAGAAAAATATGGATTTACTGGAAAGAGTACAGCAAATGGCCATGAAGATGATCAAGGGAACAGAATGTCTTCTGTAGGAGGAAAGGCTGACAGAGCTGGGACTTTTCATCCTGGTCAAGAGTAGGGTTGAAGGGGAAGTTATCAATATGTTTAAATACCTTTTCTGGGAGAGGAGAAAAGAAGATGGAGCCAGGCTCTTCTCAGTGATGTCCAGCGACAGGACAAGAGTCAAGAGCATAAATCGCAATACAGGACATTCCATTTGATCATATTAAAAAAAAAATTAACCCCCCTTTTTTTTACTGTAAGGATGGTCAAATCCTGGAACAAGTTGCCGAGAGAGGTGGTTGAGAGTCTCCATCCTTGGGGTGCTCGAAGTCTGATGAGATACAGCACTGAGCAACCTGTGTAAGGGGTGGGTTTGGACAAGTTCGTCTCCAGAGGTCCTTTCCATCCTCAACAATGTTGTGATCTGTGAAGAGATTGACACGGTTGAAGCACACCGAAAACTCTGTTATCTTTACACTGCTATCCCCTTTCTACTTGTAGCCAGAAGTTACAGGATCATTTTGAAGAGTGACAAAACCAGCTTTGACCAAACAAAGAAACAGAAAAGCAAAGTATGCCAATGAATCCTATACCCAATGTTTTAATCTCTGATATTGCTCCACTGACTAGAGGGGATTTAAACAAAAAGAAAATTGACTTCTTTTGCTCTATGGGTTTTTGTTGATTAACAAAAAGCTGTAGGATACTGTGAATAAAATAGATACAGGGTTTTAGTTGATAGTGAATACATAGTAATTGCTGTGTTCATGATTTTTCTGTAGATATTCCTATAGATTTGGAATAATTATTTCCATTTAAGTGCGAAATTCATTGTGATGTTGGCCTATTCTACATTTAAGTTTCTGGCAGCACTGTAATTCTTCCTTCTTTTTAGCATAATGATAAGAAGGATAACTTCATGGTATGATGGTATTTGGCTGGCACTGGAAAGCCTGAAGGGCCAAATATTTGCCTTGCTGCCAAGAGATTTCTCTAGTTCTGCCTCTTGCTTATTTTAATGAGCCTTTTATAACATCTTGGTGATTGATTGGAAACAGCATTATCTGCCTCTGCCCCTGGTGATTTTGGCACACCCTGTAATTAGACAGCAATCCTATAGCATCTAAAGGAATAGCCTCTTGCAATCTGATTTTGCTGTGACAAAATAATGCCCTCTTTTACAGGAGAAAAATATGCGTATACACACTACTTAACCACAAATCTGTTTTACAAGTAAAGGGGTGCCATCAGCATTAAAGTAGAGTGTTGTTCCCTCCTTTGCTGCAGTGGGATTTCAATGGGGAAGAGAGGATGAGTGCAAATGCTTCCCGGCGGGATCATTTTGGTTGCCTGGCGTTTCACCCTGGGAGGAATGCTCCCGGCATCCGGCGCAGGCCAAACAAAGCCCGCCAGGCGGCCGAAAGCAGGCGCAGTGCGGGGTGCGGGCGGTCCCGGCGCAGGAATGGTTCTGCCTACGTGTGGTACCGCGGGTGCCGCGACGCCTGGCCCGGGCCCTTTTGAACTCTGTTAATAGGAGCTGTTTGTCACCGCATTCCAGCGACAGCCCTGGGCCCTGCTCTCATCCCTCTGAACCTCCTGCATCGTCTGTTTAGCAACGCTTGTATGCCCCCGAGCTCCAACCCCTTCCCGATGGCCGGAGGTGGGGAGTTGCTGTGGTAGATGACAACCTCATTAATATAAATACAAAGTATTTGGAAATGCGCGGTGCCATCATATCAAGCAGCTGCAGAAACGTGAGCTGTGAAGGTATTGCTTAAGTGCAATGTGGGCAGAGAGCAGAGCCAGACAGCCTCACGGTCTTCAGCTCCTGAAGCTGTAAATACAGGAGCATCAGTGAGCACCACAAACGTGTCTTAAATTAAAGGGCGCTGCTTATAAACTGCACCATAAGAGAAGAAGCAAAAAACCAATTATGGCGATTAATGTTCTTAAGCTACAAGTGTGATTAAAAATAGCCATTAGATTCCCAAATGGCTATTCAGTGGTTGCACTGATTATTTTTCCTACTATGAACCATTAGCATGAAGGATCTGGAAGCA